AAAACCTAATGACCCAAGCATGCATTGTTTCACCTAAGCATTGTTTCGCCTACACGCATTCCGCACATTCTTTCGATAGCATAAAAGCAACCTACAACTTCGAAATTATTCACCACTTGATGATTCCTATACGGATGAAACAGACTGTTGTGGTTTTTTGAGGTAAAACGAAAATATATATATATATATATATATATATATATATATATATATATATATATATATATATATATATATATATATATATATATATATATATATATATATATATATTTATAGTACAATCAATACCATATAGATAGAGCGTAATATAGTTTTTCGTTTTACCTCAAAAAACCACAACAGTCTGTTTCATCCGTATAGGAATCATCAGGTGGTGAATAATTTCGAAATTGTAGGTTGCTTTTATGCTACACAGCCAGAAACGCGCAAGTCGGAACAGATCTGCAACAGATCTGTTAAATCCTGTTGTCAACAAGCCGATATCTGGATGCGTTCGCTCGCCTTGTACCTATCTGTTCTGACAGGTCCGCAACGGCCTGTCAACAGGTCTGTTAGAAGCTGTTGTAACAGAGCTGCAGCAATGCTGTTTTCAACAGGTCTGTTAGAAGCTGTTGTGACAGAGCTGCATGCAGCAATGCTGTTTTCAACAGGCCTGTCACAAGTTGTTGACAGAGCTGCAGCAATGCTGTTTTCAACAACTTGCGACAGACCTGTTCCAAACCGAGGAAAGCACCTTATGAAGCTTCTGTATTCACTATTTTGAACAAAAAAACGGCCAAACAGGCTGCCATATTTCGGTTGTAGTGTTTCGTGAAATAGCCAGACTGACGAAAAATTCAAGAAAGCTTCTTGTCGTAAACAATTTTCAAAATTAATTGGTCTTTAAGTACGACCGAAATATTACAACCTTTTTTTCAAAATAATACATACAATAACATAAAGCTTCAATAAGGCGTCTTCCTCGCTCGCTGATTTCACTTGAAATTGGAAAGAAATCATTGTATATAACGAATTTCATATTCATTTGGACAATGAAGAACGTTGCAGTGAACACTCGGTTGCTCATGTATTTTTCATTTCTTAAGCTCTAGATCTTGTATTCTCATTGCCACAGTTTCAGTCAAAAATCAAAACAGCTTTGAACTTGCTTGATTTTGTTTGAGGCAGTTGTTGAAATTTTGTTTGGCTCAAAATTCAAAAACAACTAAACAATGATTACGTGATTGATATGCTTGTAATATTTCGTCCAATTGCAACGAGGAATGATGACGTGGGCACACCCTTTATCCAATCAGATTAAAGAAATATAACGATAGCACACGTCAGCAAATTGGAATTTGGAAATCGGAATTATTTTTTAAAAATATAAAAAGTTAAAAACAGCGGCTTTTGCATTTAATCACAGAGTAGATACTTAGGATATGTTCACACGGGCGTCGTTTTCCAGCGTTTTCAAAACCTTTTTGCCTTTAATTAATCGTTTTGACACCCTGTTCACACGATCCAAAGGAAAATATATCTCCAATATATTAAATAAACTACAGCTTCTGTTGTAAATTGATAGTGTTTAACGTTACTGTGTGCACATATGGTGCACATAGCCTCATCTCCTCTGCATGTGATTTAATATTGCCTTGAATGAGAAAGTGAAGCCGGACGTGTCCATTTCGTGCGATTTTTCTTTTTACCACAGTCTTTACTCACATTTTCGATTTGTTTCCCAACAACAGGCTTGTTGAAACTTGTTGTGACTGGACAAAAATTGTTAAGCTTGCTGCAGACTTGACAAAAACAACTCGCGACAGGTCTGTTGGAACAAGTTGGAACAGACCTGTTGATTTCAACAGACTTGCTGCAAGTTGTTCTATCAGACCTGTTATCTCTTGTTAGTAACAGGTTTGTAGCGGGTTGTTTCAACAAGTCGCTACGGCTCTGTTGTCAACAGCTTGCGACAGACCTGTTCCCGCAAGCCTGTTACCGCCTGACGAAACCAACAGACCTGTCGCGACTTGTTGACAACTTGCCGCAAGCCGGTAAAATCAACAGCTTGCGACAGGCCTGTGAGATTTCTGGCTATATCGAAAGAATGTGCGGAATGCGTGTAGGCGAAATAATGCTTAGGTGAAACAATGCATGCTTGGGTCATTAGGTTTTGTTAACGACCTTGTTTACTCGAAACCGGTTTTTGTGACATTTGCCGAAAATTTCGCTTCTTTTATTGAGTAAATTGTCTTTGTTTATGTCTTTCAAAATGCAAAATTTTTCTTCCAAACATATATATATATATATATATATATATATACAGTACAGTAATAAATTAATTGCTGCCGCAGCCAGCGAGCAAGGCAGAGACTAAAATCGTACAGCTACTCAAAATCTCAATCTTGCTAGAGCCGCAAAGCATGTTGGTTGAAAGTCATTTTACCAACATGCAACGCGCAGCTATACGAACGAATTCCATTTGAGCACGTGTTCTCTTTTTCTCGAGAGTTCAGAGTGGACATACAAAGTTTAGTAACTCAACAAGGGTACCGCATGCGTATGGACTAAATAGAACTGTATAGTACAAATTACTGATAAAGCACAATTATTACTCGCAGCGAGCCAACTGAGCCCAAGAAAGTAATGCATTTGTTGCCAAGACCAGGGGTTAAAGGGCAATCACTGGTGACAGATATAATTAAACATGTGCGCCTCATTGAAGACTTGCGCGTGAATGTTTATGTTTATGGAAGTAATATTCACAAAAGGCAAAAGCATCACTAAGCAAGAATATATCAAGTAGAATCTGTTGAATTACGCGCTGCTTTTATACTATAGTACGCGTACAAATACAAACGGTTTGTACTATCGGATTTCATATTAAGTCTAATACTTTTTTTTTTTTTTTTTTTTCCCCCCATGTACAATAAATTTATTTGTAGTATATTTACAATAATTGTAGAGTGCGGGCTAGAGACCTACTAGAAATCTTAGTAGACTTTTTATTTAGGTCTCTAGTTATGCTAGTTCGTATTGTGCTATGTAATAAATTATTTACAGTCAATCACAATATTAAAGGAATATATATATATTTACAAGAGAGAAAAAGAAGAGAAATTGTTCTTATTATAGAAGTGAATATTTACAAGAGAGAAAAAGAAGAGAAATTGTTCTTATTATAGAAGTGAATACCAATGTTGTAGATACATTTGGGTTCTTATAAGAATTATTTAGACTACAATATACTATTAAATTTGTCATATAGCAGAATGTTTTATAGCATATCTTATACATTGTATAGTAAAAAATATTGTTTAATTTGCTTTTTGAAGGTGCTGTAGAAATTTATATCTATAAATTTTGTTTCTAATGAATTCCATACGTCAACTCCTTTATTTGAGAGAGTGTGTTCTACATAATTTGTTCTTTTATAACATTTGTGAAGTTTTGATGCATTTCTCGTGTTATATTGATGAATTTGGTTGTTTGTCACAAAATAATCTTTAAAAAATTCTGGTAAATTATTAAGATGGTGGTATCGAAACATAAATAAAGCAGTTAAATAGTCATTGATTTTGAAGATGTTGAGGATATTTAAATCTTTGAAAATTGGTTCACTGTGATCAAAGTAAGATTTGAATGCCATTAAACGCACTATTTTTTTTTGTATATTCATTATTTTTTGAATTCTGTTTTTGTAAGTATTACCCCATGTTAGGTTGCCGTAAATCAAGTATGGATAGACTAATGCATAGTATATCAGTTTTACAGTATTTCGGTTCACGAAATGTCGTATTTTAGCTATTATACCAGCAGCTCTAATTAATTTCTTTGCTACCTTAGCTATATGATCTTTCCAGGTCAAACATTCGTCAATGACAATACCAAGGAATACTGTATTTTTAACTTGTTCAATATTATTACCATTAATGTTAATTTTAATGTCTTGCTTTGGTTTTTTATTTGAAGATCGGAATAATATTACTTTTGTTTTTGTAGTATTTAGAGATAACTTATTCGCATTTAACCATTCAGCAATTTTATCAATTTCAATTTGCATAATCTTATTAAGTGTTTTTAGACACTTGTTACTATAGAATATATTAGTGTCATCTGCAAATAATATAAATGAAATTAATTTGCTACAATTTTCAATATCATTGATATAGAGAAAAAATAAAATTGGTCCAAGAATTGACCCCTGTGAGACACCACTTTTAATTATCATTGCTTTTGATTTAACTTGGTTATATTTAACAATCTGTTTTCTGTTTTTTAAGTAATCTTCAAACCACTGTCTTGTTATTCCGCGTATACCATAGTGTTCTAGTTTTTGAATCAGAATCTTGTGATTAATTGTGTCAAAGGCTTTTGACAAGTCGAGGAAGATACCTATTGTGTATTCTCCTTCATCGATTGCTTGGGTGATTTTGTCAACAAGTTCAATGATTGCAAGTTCAGTAGATCTATTTTTCCTAAAACCATACTGATTTTGTGTTAATATTTTATTTTTTTCTATGTGGCTAATTAACCTCTTATACATAAGCTTTTCCAATAATTTAGAAAAACAAGTGAGAACAGATATAGGCCGATAATTCTTAAATTCATTGTTTTC